AAAAAAAACTACCTTCCAATCGCACCAGTATTCCTTTGTACGATGCCTACATATCGGTGTTGCAAGGTCCTGCGTTGATTGCGCTGCTGCTGCTGCAACCACTCGTTTAGCGACCGGTGACTTAGCCAACGCACGCCTGAATCTTTTACGTTCAGCATGATTAAAAGATGACCAAAAAGATCATGCAAATGTAAGCAATGTGTAAGTCCACTTATCAGCATTTTTTATCAGTAAAAATTTTGGGGAAAAGCTGCAGGACAAAGCGGACAATTTCTCAGGTGAAGATAAAAGGAATCAGGAATCGCATAACCGCCCGAATAGACAGTGTTATTGGAATGCTTCAGTGCACCGAGTGCAGCTATGCCAGGCCTTTCGATTCTGAATTACTGGGATTTTTACATTTATAAAACAATATTCGGATTTTCAAGACCAAACTTTTAATTGTACTTCTCAAAAATAATTTCGAACAACTTTTTATCTCTAAAAATTGCAATTTATTATTTATTTTACCGAGCCAGCATTATTTATAAGCACAAAATCAGAAAAGTCATTTCAACAACTTCAAAATAAGTCCAGTTTTTCAGTCATCGGTTACCAAATACTGAAATAGGATGTCTACTAGTTACACGTCATACGTACCGCCTAACAAATTTTATTTGGTGCCATGGCCAGTTATCCGGCTAGCAAGCATTTGCAAAATCAACCTGAATAAATCGCCGACTTGCTCAATCTGGCTAGCTGGTAGTCGACGGTCAGGAGTAGTGAGATCATTTTTAGCACTTGAAAAATCATCAAATTCGGTGGATGAAGTTTGCAGCAAATTATGATAGCCATCTTCTGCAGCTGATACTGATAATTCACTGTCATTAATGTGTAGTGACAGTGACGACGATGACGATGACAAGTTTGTTGATAGCGACGATGCAGATGGCGTTAATGGTAATGATGGTAACAGCGATGGTGCCGGTGATGATGATGTTCTGATTTTCGATTTCCTCAACGAATTTAACGAATTCGCTCGGTTTAAATATTTTGTTTGACAAAATGCATGCGTATTTGTTGTTAAACAACCACTGGAACCGTGGATTTTACGTTCCTGAGGAAGTGGTGTAGAGAGAAATTGATGGTACTCGGTGGCTGGAGCGCTGATTGCTGATGACGCTTGATTATTTACAGGGCTGCAAACCACCGGAACAGTTGTGATATCAGCACTGAAATGACATAAATTCAATAGGAATTTCAAGATTTGAATGATTATAAGGTCTAAACTGCTACAGAGGGGGAAATTTTAAGGACAAAAACAAGAACTTTGTGATTTGAAATATTATATTTATATAACTTGCAAAGCTTCTGGAATATCATTTGCAAACTTGATTATTGTGTATTGGAGAACGCATTAACTATGCTATGTGTCCGTTTTTCTTGAAAAATGTGATTTTTCGTTCTCCTACAGAACGTTGGATAACAAAAAATTCAACCTGAGAAAGGAGTAGCTGCTTTCCAAAATATTTATACGCTAAAAATACTACGATTGCCCAGGTTATCAGTGTTTGGGTATCCCATGTTAGTGATGTTACTGGAACGCTCTGGTATGCCGGAAGTAGCTAAGCT